ATAATGGGATGCGAGTGGGATATCTATCAAAAAAATTATTTTTAACTCAAGAATAATTTTTTTTTTTCAATATTTGGCACTTAATTTTCCCCTATTTTTGGAAAATTTACGTTTTTGTTGTATTTTTACGTTTTGTTGTATTGCTCAAAAGAAAGCTTAGACGATTGCCTTTAAGATAAGCTGACCATAAGTCCTCTTTTTTAGAGGACACTCATCTATTTTAAGTGGTTGTCATCTTTAAAATTTATGTCCTCTTTCTGTCATCTATTTCCATAATATGTCATCTTAATCAACCTTGATCAATATTTATTTTTGTAAATTAAAACAAATTTCATTAATTCATAAAAGTTAAATAGCTCTTCAAGCTTTATAGTCCCGTAATGGGATGCGAGTGGGATATATATCAAAAAAAATATTTTTTAACTCAAGAATATTTTTTTTTTTCAATATTTGGCACTTAATTTTCCCCTGTTTTTTAAAATGAACGTTTTTGCTTAGAAAGAGATTTGTATTTACTTAGTAGGATGGGAAAAATACTCTACTAAGCTAGGTAATGTTGGATTAATAAATGAATATTTGAAAATATTTCAATTGGCCAGCACTATTTTTTAGGCAATTTGGAACCAAATGATGGCCAAAATCTTTTCCTTTTTCACAGCGTATGTTAAATATAATACTATATTAGATACTAGAGTTCGTCCAGGGGTCGAAATTCGACCAGAACCAATGCTGGAAAAATTGCATAAATGTGCTAAAATAAAACCCTATTTTTGTAGTTCAAATCTGTGGTAAAAAATTAACTTTATTGATATTACCAAAGTGTATAATTTGCTTTGATTAATGTTTTCTTTTAGAAAATGTGATGGGTTTTAGAAAAGTCAACAAAAGTATTTCAACTATTTTAAAAATAAAAACATTTTCATTTCTTCTATCGACTTATTATCCCCTACATATTTACGCTACGTTCATAATACTGGAGTACTCTACTGTACACACCATTAAAGAAATGTTAGCTGTTCAAAATACAGAGTGGAAATGTTCTAAATAATGTGTCAAAACAATACAAATATTTAAAATAAATAATGTCTTATCTAATTATAAATAAATTTTATTTGGATGTCATTAGTAGTCCATCCATCAGGTATATGCTGTATGAATTGTCCCTCGACAAAGACTTCAGCAGACCTGCATTTATTAAATTTTAATGTCTTCTAATAGAATTTAATAGTAGATATTCTATGAGGCATTCTAATGGGCCTTCTATTATCTTCATATAGAAGCGCATAACGATATGCATTGGCTTCAAATTACATTAATAAACTATAAATTTCAGTATTTTGTTAATATATGCAAGTTTAATAGCAAGTAAATGAATAATAAATGATAAATACCTAAGTACGGTTAAACACTCTTCATCCCAAAAGACATGATTTATATTTAGCAGTTTCAACTTTTATCTATTTTTATATAACATATAACCATCACCTATTCAACTTACAGTCTTGACTTTACACTACTATTTCCTAATTGGTTAGAATAACCCAAAAAAGAAGAATATCATCAAATCATCGCTGTGCTAAACCTGCATATAAGCGATATACCTATCCATTTATTGCGGTGTATCATGTACCGGCATGAGCAACTAAACTTTACTTATATTTTTACCGCAATTCAGTATTTTTTTAACTACAACATTTTGTCGTTAAATAGTAAAAATTCTTAATTAACAATAAATGTCGTTATGTGGTATGTATTCTGAATTTTATTTCACCGATTTTTTTCGTTAAACATAATCGAAAAGTATCGGCAGTGTAACGACCAATAAAAAGTCCACGTTAATAATTTTATATTTAAAAAAATATTCAATACATAACTTTTGACATTCTTATATTTTTCCGATCTTTATCTTTAAAATATTCTACAGTCGTTAAAAAGTTACTTTACGATATCAATAATTAAAATTACAAAAATTACTTAATTCTGGCACTGATGTCCTACCAATATTTTTTCAGGCCAAACACCAATATCAGTACATTGTTTGGCATATCTTGAGGTGTCCCCAAGCATTATTTACGCATGTTTTTATATTCCCAGTTCGTTGTTTCTTCGGGAATGTCCTTCAATTTAATTATTTTGAAAAGTTTAAATAACCTAAAACCTCCAATCGAAAACTCTGAATATAAAACTGAAGTCCTAATTCTTATAAAAATATTCCTTTCGATTAGGTAACAATCGTAACGATATTATAACAAAATAGATCATTATCTCATTCACAATATAGCACATTACACAAAAATATAAAACAGTAAAATCCTATTTTCGCTTTGCCTAAGCCTATTTACATACATTTTTGTTTACAAAAATCTCCTTAAAAACAAAAACAAATATCATGCAAAATATAAAAAGAAAACAGCAACAGAGAACTTCTCTGAGAGAAGTTAAACGTTTCTGCACTCTCCTCTCATATCTGCACACATCTGCGAACAAATACCTTTAAAATGATATATTTTTTGCCAAGATCAGATGTATACTGTAAGAGTAAAAGGGGTCACAAAAAATCGTCTTGCCTATTAATTATATAGATTAGATATACATATGTATACATATGTATGTACAGTGACGGACATTACAATAGAATCACTACCAATATTTCATATAAAACTATGATTTATATGTAATATATTAAACTCTTTTTTTATTTTGCGTTTGAATTTTGTCTGCGTGGTCAACACTTAAAATTACAACTTATTACAATATTAATAACATTGTTACTTTTCAAATTAAATGATATGAAAAGTAAATTTTGTTGAATACATTGCGACAATAAATATAATCACATTAAAAAATAAAATAAAAAGTTGGCTTTGACTTTTAATTTTTGGATTTTTTTTGTTAATGAGAAATTATTTTACTAGTAATTATTAAATATTAGCTATCGGTAATAAAATATTTATAAAAAAATGGGTCGCGCAAAACATTGCACTGAAGAAGAAAGAAAAATTATCAAAAAAAATTATATGGCCGATCTCAACGTGAAATTGCAAAAATAGTTGGATCTCAGAAATTTGTTTTCAATGCGTTATCCATCCGCAAGCCACCGCGTTCCATAGGAAAACCACGAAAAACTAGTCAGCATGAAGATAATTTAATTGTTATAATATCCAAACGAGATCCATTTAAGTCCGCTGACGCAATCCGGAAGGAGGTTGGTTGAGAAGTATCCACAAGAACTGTTCAAAGAAGTTTGGTGGATGCTGGTCTTCATGGCAGAACTTCAAGAAAAGTTCCTATGCTCACAAAAGCATAAGTGGCTAAATGTGTTGTGGACGGATGAAACAAAAATTTATTTGATTGGTAGCGATGGTAAACATGGGTCAGACGTCCAAAAAATGCTGAATTAGATCCTCGGTATACTACAAAAACGTTCAAACATGGTGGTGGAAATATTATGATATGGGGATGCTTCTCTTGGTATGGCGTTGGTCCAATTTACTGGATTAAGGAAAATATGGATAAGCACCTGTACGTTAATATTTTGGAAAATGTTATGAAGCCACATGCAGAATGGAGTATGCCCCTAAAATGGGTATTCCAGCAAGATAACGACCCAAAGCATACTTCAGGTCTTGCGAAAAAGTGGTTTTCAGATAACAAAATTGATATTATGGAATGGCCCTCGCAATCCCCTGACTTAAATCCTATCGAAAACCTATAGAAAGTAGTCAAAGATAAACTTGGACCTGAAAAAGCGAAAAATAAGGAAGAATTATGGGAAAAAAAATGGGAAATCTGGTACGCTATTCCTCGTTCTACATGCGAACGATTGGTAAATTCAATGCCAAAAAGATGTGATGCTGTTATTAAAAATAAAGGTTATGCAACAAAATATTAGGAAAACGACGCGTTTTTAAGATGTTCTTTAATTTTTATAAATATTAGACTAATTGATTCTATTGTAATGTCGCGTATCTCACTTAGTTTTTTTATATTTGTCATAGTTTTAAACATAAGAATGTGTTATTTTTTATTTTAGTTTTATTTATTACCGTAGGCATTAATATATACTGAAATAATTTAAATTTTTGAACTAAATTCTGTAGTTTTACTGATTTACTTAAATTTATATGTAGTGATTCTATTGTATTGTCCGTCACTGTATGTATGTATGTATATAATTGCAATAATTTATCAAAAATTGCAACAACAATAAGTAAAAACAGGAAAAAAATTGATTATCTTTATAAACTTTGTTAATAAATAAATAAGAAAATGTGCAATAGTGATGTTAATTTTTAATAATAATTTATAATTAAAAAAAAATAATATTTTAATATTATTTATTCTTTTTCCCAAAATATAATCTTTTAAAATTTTTCTGCGATTTTATTTACAAATTTGTAAACGATAAAATTATAAATTTCAAATTTTATTTTAAAAGAAATCTTAATTAGTTTTCGCTATCAACCTAAAATTAGCGAAAAAAGCTGAGATCTGAGAAAAAAATATTAAAAACCAATTTATTGTTGGCTTGAAGTAGGGTTGAGCCTATGATAAAAATCTTATATTTGTCAATGGTTTAATGAAGGTATTTTAAGCTATTTAACTTTTATGAATTAATGAAATTTGTTTTAATTTACAAAAATAAATATTGATCAAGGTTGATTAAGATGACATATTATGGAAATAGATGACAGAAAGAGGACATAAATTTTAAAGATGACAACCACTTAAAATAGATGAGCTTTCTTTTGAGCAATGCAACAAAACGTAAAAATACAACAAAAACGTAAATTTTCCAAAAATAGGGGAAAATTAAGTGCCAAATATTGAAAAAAAATTATTCTTGAGTTAAAAATATTTTTTTTGATAGATATCCCACTCGCATCCCATTATAGGACTATAAAGCTCTTCAAGGAAATTGTATAAGCCTTCTTTTAAGCAAAAAAAAAGAAGAGCCCATTCTGAATAAAAAAATATGAATTTTTAAAAAAAGTCCGGCAGTTATTGACCGGTAGAGCTTAAAATGTGTGTCGGACCTACTATCCAATAGTACTAAATTTCGTCAAAATCGATTTCAAGCGAATTCCCATTTTCGATTTGTTCTAATTGTGCATGGTTGTTGAAAAATAATAAAAATTTACTTATGATCACGGATAGTAGAGGTAATCACGGTTAAACGATGCAGAAAAATCCAAAATAAAATTAAGTCGATGCAAAAAAAATATTTTTCTATCCCTGATAATTGATGTTGCCGGATAATCGAATACGAATAATCAAGGTCCCACTGTAAAATTTAGAATGAAGATAAATCTGTCAGAATGAGTTTTAATGTCGAAAACGATCTTTCGACACTTACCTATGTTGCAGGTACAGTGGATGACTAACTCGTATAAATTGAGGTAAGTAAACTTCTGCTCTTCCCAATAGATCATTATATCCTTATTAATATTTATTGGTTTTTGGCATCCTATTCAATCGAAGCAACTTCTTGTAAATTATTTTGGCTAGATGAGGATGGAATAATTTTCTAAAAGAAAAATACAAAATTTACTATTGTATTTAACTGCGATTTCTTCAATAAGCATCATACATACATATTTTAGGTGATTCTTGGCAATCACGATGTTGGCTTCTGTAGTAACACGCGTCTACTTCTTGAGTCGAGGTAAATAGCCGCAATGACAATTTTATTATCCATTAGAAATTCCTGTCTCTTTTGAAGACATTTTTTAACAAATAATTGTGATCTTTTCCTGTTTTCACTGTAAGAGTAAGTTCTAGAAATAGCTTATAAAAGTCCCCAAGATAAAGCACTTTGAAGCTTTAAGATCGCCATATAACCAGGCTCTAAAATATTAACAGGTCTTCTTATAGCATTCCAATCGGATGAATTGATATGTGACCCCAACTCCAAGCACTCCTCACAAAACCCTTCAAGTTCTAAAAGTTTTTTCAACATACAATATCAAGACTTCCAACGAGTCGCCACATCGGGCTGATGTAAGCCTTTGATTTAATAAATATACACAAAAATATGTTTATGTTCATATATTAGGGATACAAATTTTGTAATTATTACTTACCTGTAATTTTGGGTTCTCAAAATTTCAGCAAGTTTTCGTCCTTTTCTTATTGGGACATACGTTTCCTCAATTTTTTGTAGAAAGTCTTTAATTGCTACCTGCAGCGAATGGGCGGCGCATTTCATAGAGATGATCGAATTAATGCAAATTCCATTTAAAATTTCATATTTTTCAAGTCCATAAATTTGACATAAATAATTTTATAATTTATTTCCTTGTTGGTTCAACGATTATTTCTCGAATGATCAAAAGAACTCCGTTTTTAATTAAATCCAAGCTATCAATAAAAATAAGTCCCGTTAGGATTTAAGAAGAATGAATGAAAGAAAAACGAGTATAATGTCGTTATTGCCAGATTAAAATTTCCCCTATAAAGGGTTGTTATCATAGAAAAATAAATAGAACTGAGACTGAGAATAAGAAATGTTACTCTCTCACATGTACAGGTTCTGTGTGAATTTAATACAATTGTATGAGTATTTTTATTTTTGTTTACATAAAATAACAAAAATATGAAAGTACAAAATGTATCCGAATACATCATACCCTACCACATTGCGAGTAAGTAGCAATAAGTTATTTAGTATTTTTTAATGTAGAAGTTATATTCAAGAGATTGATGTTTGCTTAATTAAAGAATGTACTACTCATTATAACAATATATAGTCAAAATTTCGTATATATAAAATTTGTTGAGTCGAATTTTATAAATACCCTATTCTTGTATAGCATGTACCGCTTACAAAAAGGCTAATTTATGGACGGATTACATCATTACATCGACGCAGGTGTTACAAACTTTAAGACATAAACAAAATGCCGTTCCCATTAGTGTGGTGTAGGGTGTATTTTGACTGCATTTGGGCTGCTTTGAAATTAACAATAATAGTTCATATCAAGCGTTAATTTTAGCATTAGCACAATTCCTTTGGCAAAATAGCCCCTGCTGCTGCAATAAACACTGCTAAAAGTTATGTTTTTCCTATAAAATTATTGAAAACATTTTCAGAAAAAAACTAATTTTTCAATCGTTTTTATTTTTTTAATATAATTTTCAAGTGTCAATATTGACTCAACCCAGCAAACACAAAGAGTTTATTTAAAATTAAGAATAATTTTTAATTCAAAACATTATTTCATAAAATATCGAAATATAATATCAAACAAAAATATAAAAACTTTTTAAACGAAAGAGTTTGTGTTTGTTGGGATACATATTTTTCAACTAATACATTCTCACAACTTAGGTTTTTGACAGCAGACTTAGGTTTTGTCATACTCAGTTTCAGTTCTATGTATACCTTTTCTATGGTTGTTATATTTATTCGTTATTTATGTTACATGTTTGGGTATAATGCACCAAGAAAAATTAATTGCATCAATATTATGTTTTCAGAAAGAATTTCAAATTTTTCTCTTTGTCCTAGAGTATATAACCAAACAACTAAAAAATAATAATAATTTCTTAAGGGGGCTTACACGAGCACACAAGTAATATTATCTGTCAAAATTTTGTGTAAAAGAGTACGGATGGAAAATTTGATAGTCGTATGGCTCTCTTCATTTTTTGAAATTATTAAAAAACAAGCAAGTCGCTTTAGATGAGGGATGTATTTTTATGTAAACACATACAAACAAGTGAAACAGCTGTTTCCATCTTACTTTGTTATTGTTTTATACCAATCGTGTAAACACCAAAATTATAAATCATACGACTTTTATTATCTCTTTTGTCGTATGGATGGAATTTTATTTTACTTTTTCATTAGACTTTACGTACATAAAGTGTGATCGTGTAAAGGGCCCTTTAGCAACACCGTTCATTGCACATGTATGTATTTTACAATAAAATTATTTTAATTTCTGCCAAAAAATCCAAATTTCTGCAAAAATAAAAAGTATTTTTATTTCTGTTCAAAAAATAAATTTTTCCAAAAAAATCAAAACTTTTAAAAACATAGCGTTTTATAAAAACTTATGTAGCCCAAATCAATAAAATTTGTTTGTTTATATTTGTTCTCCGATATTTTCTTATATTTGATTTCTTTCTTTAAAAATTCACAGATAATTATTTTTCTCGATCCTGGTTGAAAATATAAATTCCCACAAAAGTTTTTTTTTACAAATAACACAGATATATCTTCATAAAATATGAAAAAACTACGCGATAAGTGATCACGCTTTCGACCCATTATAAAAATTCTAATTAGAAAAAATTTAATGATTTATAATTTTTATATTAAATATTAGGCATAATTTAAAAAAAATTCACACAAAAAAGTAGGATTTTGAACATGACCCTCTCCCATTTCGAAGAAATTTGGTATTTGATAAATATGAAATTTGAAGTTCTCCAAATTTTCTAAATTCGTTACGGTTCAGATTTTATCGAGGTTCAAAGTGCATATTTTTATGATTTATTTCCACAAGCATTAAATTGGACAACATATATATATTTTTTAAACTATCTATCCGATTTTAATCGTTTTAGTCCCTAATTAAAGCCTATGTCTTGCAGTTCAACAATACTTTTATTAAAATATTATAGTTTTAACATAAGGATTAGGATAATAAAAAACTGACATACATGAAATTGTTACATACATGAAAAAGAATCATATTTCATGACTATTTCACTATGTAGTTAATATGTACTCCACTTTATTTGGAATATGTATTAAAATACCAAATCTTACAGCAGAACCAATAATATTAATAGAACATATTTAAACCATGATATGACAATGGGCAGCTTATACAAAGAACACTACTTTTCATGGTGTAAAGAGGAAGGCATTACACCAGTTAATGAAAGTATATGTATTTTGAAAAACATTTTGTTGAGTTTAAAATTGGCTTCAAACATCCAAAATCAGATAAGTGTAATACTGGGACGAAACAGTCATCGTTCCTCTATTCAAGATAATTATTGTGAGGGAGAACTGTAGCTCTTCTTTATCATCAAAAAAACAGTGCCAAACAAATGCAGGATTTGCTGAAATTTGAAACTCAATACTCAGTTTAAACAATCATTGCCTGTACCGAAACTAACTACGGGACCCCTATATAATATTGGTATCCACGACTGTACTACTGGACAGGGTCACATGTTTGTTTGGATAAAAAATATTGCTAAAAGTTTAACTTGTATCTGTGTTATTAAAGTACGCAGAAAGTTATAATTATATAATTATAATCCACTTCAAAAATGTACCAGAACCTTGTTTTTGAAAATAAAAATTAAAGCAACGCAATAACTTGATAAGCCACATAGTAACCTGTAAAAATTTTCTGATTATGGAAATATATAATGATGTAAAATTATACTGCAGTATGGCCATGTATGGTAGAAAGTAAATGAACGCTTTAAAAACTTTCAAGAAACAAAAATGTAATTTTTAAACCGTCGATTTGTATAAAAATCTTGGTTTTAAATTATAATTAAAGCTTCCGAAATAACTGAAAGCCTGTATTTTACGTAATATCAAAATAATTAACTTCGCAAACACTTTTATTTTAAAACAAACTCCAATTTTTGGCTGACAATAGGGTAAACAATAGACAGCTGTTCAATTTTGTATTGAATATCCCAGCAAAACCTTTACTTATCCGGTAAGTAGGCAAGTAATATTGGAGCAAAGTGTAAGTACTTACTTTTTGGGTGAGTAACAACTTATTTTTGTTCGACGATGACCAAAAAATAAGTGGTTACAAATGTGCTTACCCGACCTTCGCGGATTCAAAAACCGGCTTTACAGTTATTTTCTGTGATTAATATTTTATTCTCTTACTCAATGCTCTATTTACACGTTATTTTATCGTGCTATTTGGAATGGTTTTTACATAAATGTAAAATTGTAAATTTGTTCAAACAACTCCTAATATCGATTAGGTTTAGGATCATTAAGTAATTCCTTATTAGACATACGCGTTAGACGATTGACTACAAATCCTATTTAAAAAAATTAATTAATGTTACTGATAACGACCATTCATTACCAAGTAATGTATGAAATAACTACATTACCTACATTATTCATTACCAAAATATTTTGCTGGGATTATATGTTTGTACTTAATTTCACAAATAAAACATTCATACCGAATAAAATTAATTAATTTCGAGATTTCGATCGAAATCTACTCGAAATTAAGTAATTTCCCATACATTTTTATCATTTGGAATTAAGTCATATTGCTTAATTTCACTGAAATTAACTTGAAATTATGATAATTTTGTAAAGAAACTCCCTTTTATTTCAACCTTGTACAACATTTTTACAAATTTTCAGAAAGGATTGACAGTTTGTATTAAAAACAAGTAAGAGTGCTATATTCGGCTTTGCCGAATCTTATATACCCTTCACGATAGTGTATTTAAAAATTCATTTTCCCGATTATATCATTATTATAACAATAGCAAAACATAATGAACAACAACGCTAAACGAAATAAACACACAAAAAGCAAAATACACAAGGCAGTAAAACCAACCAGTGTGACCAGGTCTCAAAAATTTTTGCAGCTAAATCATATCCAAAATAATGCTAGAAAAAAAGCTAAATGGATTTTTAAATGTCAAAAAAAAATGCTAAATTTTTTTTGGAACAATATGAAGAAATTCTTCACTATTTGTACTGCTGTTT